TCCAAGCAGATGCGAGCGACACCCTGAACAAGGATGGAGAAGACGAAGGAGGACTCGTGACTGGTCCCAGTCGCTCTAGCCACCTGTTTGCAGTGGGCCTGGGTTAGTCGAATGGTTCCCCCTCTTCCTAGCTCCCTCGCATCCTTCCCCCCTCCCTCCCTCCCTCCCTCTCTTCCTTCGCCGTTTCACCAACCTGTATCACTCGCGCTGCGCAGCCGACAGCATACACCGGCGGATCATCGAAGGGAGCAGTCCGAGGACTCAAACTTTGTGACTGCAACCCATCTTTCCCTCCGTCCTTTCCCCCTTCCCTCCTTCCTTCCCTCCCTCCCCCGCCTCCTCCCTCCCTGCTTTCGCTTGCTCCAGGGATGAGTGCAGCGACGGCAATGAAGCCTCCCCGAAGGGGGGAGGAGTGGTGCTGAGGTTGCAGAGGTCGCTTTTGACTGACCAAGAAATCCTATATGAGCGAGTGGGTAGGCAAAATGAGAGACCTGTCGCGTCGGAGTGCTCTGGTTTCGGAGGAAAAGATAGGAGCAGTACCTCAATCAAACGGACAGACCGCGGTTTCCCCACAGAGAGGCGAAGAAGGCCGCCGGGGAACAGGACGCGGTTGCGGATGACGAGGAGAGGCTGGGGGGAAGAGAGGGATGGTTGGAAAGGAGAAGAGAAGGGGGAAGAGGAAAGATGGTCGGACAAGGTGATGAAGAAAAGGACACTGAGACTACCTCTATGAAGAAGAACACGTACCAAGGTCGATGGAAGCGGTAGGGCACCGGTTATTTGCGTGGGATCATCATTATTGATGTTACTATTGCTCTCATGCATGATTCCACGACGCAGGAAGGGGCCCCCGAGTCAGCTAGCAGGTCCTTAGTGAATCAGCAAATAATATAGCGTCCCCAGCCGCTATAACAGGCACTAAGCTCTCCAGGACGTGCTTGATGTAAAGTTTACCTGCCTCACTTAACGTCAGTGCATGATTTGAAGCAATGTGAGTCAATGAAAAGTCAAGTCACTTCAAGAGGAAGGACGATCTACTCAGCCCAGCTACGTCTTGCTCTTTCCTCGGCGGCTCAACCCTCCCACAATTAAAACGGCAAAGTGCTAGTGTACCTGTGCAAACCAATCACCACAAGTACACTCGGCATGCATGCGAGGTCATCCAGGGCGGGACGTGGGGTCTCTTGTGTCTTTGTATCGACCTTGAAGGCCTCGCAGTTTTGAGACGGCGAGCGCGAGGGAGCCAGAGGGGGGAGGTTGAATAGGCCGTGGTCAGCTTTTTTACGCCTTATAACATGCGTGAAATCATACAGTGTGCGGTCATGGGATGGAAGCGATTATAGTGAAAATCTACTTGATCGGGAGAAACTAGATTGGGGGCATGCTTGCGGACGGCCAAAAATGAGGGGGGCAACGACTGCGCATATAAGTAACATACATGAGGAGTCTTCATAAAAAGGAAAACTAACGAAAGTGTTGTGAATTTCCTGACGGATATAAAGTCGCATCGTCCGTAAATGCTGAAAAAAATCAAATAGACACACGGAAGAAGAGCACTTATTTGATCTGATATGACCCCAGGCATTCGTAGTAGCCTGAATTATACAGGGGCCATACTTTTGTCGAAAACAGCGTGTATTATGGCTCGTGAGAACGGATACAGCCAATTTCTATGTACATACACTGTGTGTTTTCCTGGGGACATCCTCTTCAAATTTCAGAAAAGAGAGGCAAACGTAAATTCACCTCAAAGATATAAAAATTAAAGCCAACTCGGATGAGAATTATCGGGGTCGATATTCTCATCGGTTAATTTAAGGTACACCTTTTTTCGCCTTTTGGCTGCAACGCTACCTATCATTTGTCTATCACCAATATTCGCAACGATGCATGTTTTGCCATCGTCGCGCTGACTTTGCTCTCGGGGCAGACGCCAATCGTTTCGAGAACTCCTCTTCTTCCCTAGGAACCTAAGTCCGAGAGGCCGCGACGGGGGCGCCCTCCACTTCAAGACCACGGGCATGCTAAAGTCTTAACTCTATGCGATCACCCATTTTTAGTCATAGCCACACGGGTATGGCAAAAACACAGGTCAGCAACAAGGCTACAGCTGCTGCGGCCGCCCCTCGTTGGGTCCAGATTCTCATGATCCCTCCTCCCCCCCCCCCCTCCTCCCTGTTCACGATCAAATAACCGCCCTCGTTTCTATCGCCCATGTGCTCTAATTCCCCCCCTTGGTCGACCCACAACCGCCCCTCCTCCCCCCCGCCTTCCACGTCTTCCTCCGCGCTCATTTGGGTGCACCAGCTCCTCCTTGTCCTCTCCTTCCCCCTCCTTTCCCGCTCCTTCGTTCTCTCCTTCTCTTCCCCCTTCCCCTCCTCCCTCGACACCGGCTTGCTCGACTGTGCAGTTCGTGTCCGCACCATCGCCTCCACCATCTCTCGCTCTTCCTCCAACCTCCTCCTCGTCGCTTCTCGTTCCTTCTTCTCCCCTAAGAAGTCGCACCAGACCGCCGTTTCCACCACCGCCTTCTCTCCCTCCCTCCCCGCCTCCTTTCCAGCCCCGGAGGGTGGCACAAGGGGGGTCTCCCAGACAGAAAAGGAGGAAGAAAACACGAGGGAGGGGGTCGACCCAGCTTGGCCCCTCGCGGCGTCATCGCCCGTGGCATCGCTGGAAGCATTGTCATTCCCTTGCCGCCCGCCTTCTCCTCCATGGGTGCCGTCACCGAAGGAAGGCGTGACGTGCGAAGCTCTCCCCAACACCCAGGAGGCCAGAGAACCCACCACGCCGGACCGTGCCCTCCCTCCCGCCCTCCCTCCCGCCCTCCTTCCCGCCCTCCCCTCTTTTCAATCCACCTCCCTCGCTGCCACGTACCTCCCTTCGCAGCACCAACCCTTCCCTCCCTCCATTTCCCCCCTCCCCACTACCTGCCTCCCTCCCTCCCTCCCTCCCTCCGCCGCGCGCCCACCGCGTGAACAACGTCTCGATCTGCACCACCTCGGGCACGCGTTCTTGTGCTGCCAACGCCAAAGGCGTCAAACCCCACCGGTCCACCCTGCATTCCTCCCCGCCGCTCCTTTCCAGGAGGAGGGCAACGCAAAGGGGATTGCCACCCATGCATGCGTAATGTAAAGGGGTCCTTCCGTCCCCATCCAACGCCGACAGCCGGGCCGCGAAAGGATTGATGAGGCGGGGAAGGCGCACCTTCCCGTCCTCCTCCCCTCCCGACTCCCCTCCCTCCCTCCCTGCGTTCACAACGTCAGTACTATCGGTGGTGGCACCCATCTGTGCCTCTCTCGTCATCCTCACACCCCCAGACCCGCCTGCCCTCTCCCCTCCCTCCTCCTCCCTCCCTTGTCGCGAGGCCCCCCGTGCTTCGGGCGCCTCCCACTCAGAGGGGTCCGCGTGCAGGTCCAAAAGGCTGAGAAGCATGGAAGGGTCTTTCAGGGCTGCCACGTGGATGGGTGTGATCCGGTAGAGCTGGTCGGGTGTATAAGGAAGAGGGTCTTCCCCCTCGACGGCGCCGCCTTTCCCCCTCCTTCCTCTCCCCTCATCGGGGCCTCCTTCTCGCCCTCCTTTCGCTTCCCTTTCCCCATCCTTCGGCAGGTCGCGGTATGGTGTCTTGGCTTCGGGTGCGCAAAGCGAGGAAGAGGACGGGGAGGCGATGGAGGGGGAGGTGCTAGACGGGGGGCAGGCAGAGAGGAGAAGGTCGATCGTGGCGTAGTCTGAACACAGCGCTGCTGCCATCAAGGGGCTCAGGCCTTCCTCATTGTCCCTAGCATTTATATTTGCCTCCATTTCTGTTTCGTTCCCTTTTCCCCGCGCTTTTTCCTTCTTTCTATCTTCCTGCGACAAAATACGTTGCAGATTCCTTAAGTCTCCTGCCTTGGCGCACGCAAACAAGGATAACGACCCTTCGTCTTCTTCCTCTCCTCCACCTTCACGTCCAGTATTTTTCCCTAGTACGGAAGGAGACGCTGCATCCATGATCGCACGCAGATGACAATGGCCTCCCACCCATTCCCCCTCACTCACTCCCTTCTTCCCTCCTTGCCTCGCCAGACCCTCTTTCCATGCTTCCATTTCTCGGTTGTACCGCTCTCGGTCCCACATGGCCTTTGCTACATAAGCAGCTTTCTGTGCATCAGAACGTGTGTTCCAAAGTCGCAGGAGCCGATGTATGACTGCGATAGGGTTTTGCCTCTCGGTAGTTACAGACAACGAGGCGTGCACATTCGCCTTCTGGTCGAGGCAAAAGAAGAAATAAGGCGAGCAGGGAGGACATGGGGCCGTGTAGCGGAGATGGATCACATCAAGGTCGAGAACCCAGCTCAAATCCGCTGAAGCAGCTTCTGCTGACGAGGGAAGTGCAGGGAGAGCTGCCAATGGAATTGAGGAAGAGGGCCCCTTTCGACGCAGAAGGTAACGTGGGAGACGGGGCCTCTCATGCGAAGTCATAATAGCGACTTTGTCCTTTTGCGGCGCAACAGGAAGGCGCCTTTCAGATGCTCGTTCACCTTTCTTCAGATGTGTTGTGTTTTAGGGGTGCGGATTGGGAATGAGACGGAGCGAAACCCCAAAAAGGATACATGTCCCCAATAGAAAGTTGACAAGTCAGACGGACAAAAAAGAACTTGAGGGCTTTAGTCTTCTACGCCTAATCAGCTCTTTGCGCGTGACGGAAGAGATTGCCTCTTCCTAAAAGCCCTGTTGTTGCTCACGGGAACAACAACCGGGTTGGTAGGAAACGGTTTTCTGTCAACGGGTTTTTAAAAACCTGAAGCATCACTATATGCCGTACTCCATCCTTGACTCCAGGCCCTTCCACGTAGGGTGCGCGATCAACAAGTTGGCTAGATCACTCTTATGGGTGTTTATCATGCATTTCGGAGCGAGTAGGGACGTTGAGGAGAGTATGGTAGACTGTTGGATAACATGAGACGTGTAGTTTTCACGTTGAAGAATCCATACACACAGGACCTCACATCTTCTCCCCTACCATGGTCTTCAGCTGGCGCTGCCTCCTCCCTCATACATCTGCGACGCCCGAGCACCTTTCTCGTTCGTCCCACGCTGTTTCGTATGTTGCCGCTACGAAGTCTCTTTATTTGTACGGCGGTGAAAACAAGCCACGAGTCCCCGTGGACAACGTACTGTACTCTTTGAGTTTGTCAGACCCCGCGACGGGCTGGGTACCTGTAGATCTTGCTGCATCAAGTGCCTCAGTATGCCCAGTAGAGCGTATAGCCCCTGGCATGGCCGCTGTGGGAGAAACACTCTATGTCTTCGGCGGTCGTCAGGGAATTGCGGTGCGTGAGAATCAAGCAAGCGCGTTATTGACAACATGTGCATAATTAGACCATAAATACCTCTTCACTGCTTGTTTCACCCACACACAGATGGAGGAAGGTCCCCTCGACGATCTGTGGGCCTTCAACACCACGACGAAGGCGTGGACCTGTTTGATGGAGCACACGGAGGAAAAGGGGGGCCCCAGCAAGCGCAGCTTCCATCAAATGGTGAGGGAGGGTAACGGAAGGAAGAGAGTGAGAGTGGAAAGGAGCATTTAAGAATGGATGCGAAAGTAAAAGCGCTCATTATAAGGCAGCGTTTCATCGAGACATGAAGGAAAATAGGAGGAAAGAGAGGGGTATGCCGGTAGGACCATGAAAGTTGACAAAGGATGACACGTTTAGAATCGCAGAGGTCTTCTCGTGTCTGTCGGAAAGACTAAGGCTACTTTTGACTGCGCCTCCTCTCCTCTTTGAGCAATCCAAATCAATACACAGCATTTCTCCCTCTTGTCCTGACAAACACCCTGCCGCGTGTCTCCTCACCCCCGCATTCAGGTCGCATTGGACGACAAGCTCTACGTGTTCGGGGGCTGTGGCGCGAAAGGTCGCATGCATGATCTCTACGCCTACGATATTCAGAAAGCTTGTTGGGAGGAGTTCCCGGAAGAAAAAGCCATGAAGGTAAGAAAGGAGAAAAAAGGGAAAGAAGGCGATTCCCTCAGATTGTAAGGAAAATGAAAATTCTGACGGCAAGGGGGAGAAAAGGACAAACAAGGTGGGGTTTTGACGGGGCTGGGAAAGATAGCCTCACACAGTAAGAAAGGGTCCTGTCGGTGCTCAAACCGGATAGAGTGCGGGTCGGGCGGGAAGCCAAGGGGAAGGGCAGTGGCGCACCTCAACCCGGTGGCATTGAAAAGGCTCCCCTTATCCTCGGGCTTTCTCCATCTTCCATCTCACTCTCTTCTCACCCTTCTCCTGCCACCGACGCCAGGGTCGTGGGGGCGCGGGCGTGACGGGGGTGGGGGGAAGGTTTGGGTGTTGGGTGGTTTTGCGGGGGAGGAGGCGAAGGACATGTGGGCCTTCGATCTCGCGTCCAAGATCTGGGAGGATTGGTCGGAGAGCAGGTGGG